CAATGAAACAAATCAAAATGACAACATCGCCTGGGTTGAAACTAGAGCCAAGTGTAAAAGATAGTGAAGTGATAGTGACAGTGAAAAGTGAAAGTGAGGTGTGCGGTATTGGATTTGTCACTATTGTATCACGATTAACCTCTCAAGAACTAAGAGTAGAGGTTGAAAGGGAATGTGATATAGGCTGTGGCACATTACTCGGTGCCTTGTTTTCGCTTCTGAGCCCATATATTCCTACAATTTTGACATGTGCTGCTATTGGAGTTGGATATATATATGGTAAGTTTTTTATAAAATGTTTGTAGTTAAAAGCTGTAGCTAAGAGCTTTTTTATTCCAATGCAACGTGATATCTATATAAAAAGAGAAATCTAAATATAGAGTGTAGTAATTTTTTTTATGGTATAGTTTCTTTGATTATCTTAATATATATAAATCACGTGTCACGTTGTTTGTCCGCGATGGACTCCTAAACTACTTAACCGATTTTAAATTAAATTTGCACACCGTGTGCAGTTTGATCCAACTTAAAAGATAGGATCTTAATTTATAGCCGCAATATTATTTCATTGCAAATTATTTGTTTATTATTTGATAGTCACAATTCTAACAGATGGCGCTGTGTTGAAAGTATCAACGTTTAATAAGCTACAATTTAATGGCATAACCACGAACACCATGGTGGTCCCCATGACTTGTGTTCCCCTACCGTTTCTCTTGAATAGTTTACTACTATGTAATATAACAAAAACCTTAGCCACAGCAACGCTTGGCCGGTCTGCTAGTCATTTATTAAAAAATAATCAACTACCTTGTGTCAAAAATAATTACATAATTTCTAACTGTAACATTTATTTTCAGTGCAATCAAAGCTACAAAGCAAAGCTCCAATACGGCTTCCCACTGAGCCAGTACCAACAGTATTGCCTGAAACTCCGACACTTCGGACTCGTACATGGTCAAGGAGTCCCTACGCCTCCAATGGACCTGCCAATCCAGTATATGGAGATGCTAGTGTACTACCAGATACTAGTTTTTCACCATTAAGACCGTCTTTTATATAGTGACTCTAGTGAAGTGTTGTGAAAAAGTATAGTGGAGTTAAGGTTTTGGTAAATATGTGACAAATCAGCATGAAAGTGTGTTGTGATATTGGAAGGAATTTCGTAAGTTCATCTAGTCTTAACTAAAACTTGTGGTAAAGGAATCTACCATTTGAAGGTGGACGGTGGACATTGTCCAGTGTGATAAGGAGATGTTTCATATGTTTTATGTTTTGATCATCCGTATTGTCATGAAAATAATTAAGAACCAGCTACTACCCTTGCAGTAGTTGCTGTTGCAGTTGTAAAAATGGTGTGAATCTTTATTGCTTTTGGAACCAGGAATAGCATGATAGTTTATTACCCCAAGTAATTAAAAACAATTTGACAAATTAAACTTCTCAGAAAATTTAAACCGTACAGCTCATAAACAAAGAACTGTTCTTTTGTAAAACGTTTTGTATTTTGTGTGTAGGGAAAAAAGTACTGTCTCAGAATAGTACAATAATTTTAAATTTAATCAATTGGTTGGTTTTGTTGTGATCAATAGTGTAAGGAATTGTGGAGCCAAATTTGAACAAAGTTGAACGTCTTAAAAAATATTTTTTTTAAATTTGCAATAAACATTACTTGATACATTAAAATTGTTTATGGCTGTTGTTTTTTATTTGTAGTATTTTTAAGTAAGCTTGAAATTTGTTTGTCCATTTAAGTTTTCTAATTTATTTGACATAATATGTGATGTGATGTTAGTTGATAAACTCAATTTTTCAGTAAAGATTTAATTTTTTGGCACTTGATTATTATTGCTTCCTGCATTTAGTTGTAAAATTTAATCAACAAAAAAGGCTTGATAAGGAAAGCCAACCTTCTATAACATTAAAATTGTTAAAATATGTTAGACCTGAAAGTAGTTGGGAATGGGGTAAAAGTTAGGGATGTGACATTCTGCATAAAAAAATCTTAAAGTTTGAGCATGAAAAATCGATTAATAAAAATAGATTTTCTATAATCGATTTTTCCAATAAACATTTCCCTAAACACCCTAAATATTTTTTTTTCATGGTTTTTTAAGTTAAAAATAAACAATAGAATTTATAAACAAAAATTAACGTTTAAGAATAATCAAAATCGAAATTAACTTAATCTTGTTTTGATAGATTTTAGGTGAAACTTGATAAATGCTGAGTGTATGCCTTTTCAGTAGCACATTGCAGTATTTTGTTGTCTTTTTAATTGTAAGTAATCTTGTGCTGCTGAATAAATTTATTATGCTTTTAAATTATAGTGTTCCATTCAAACTTGACATTTTGTAAAATTAACTGGTTTTATCATCCTTTCGATGTTTTACAAAAAAAACATCAATGCATCGAGTATATCAATACATCTTCAAAAAATCGGATTCAATGTTTCGCATTGTAAACATCGATGTATATCGAATATCCCTAATAGTTCGAGGTCCGCCTCCGGGTGGGGGTGGATAAAAGATCAGACATGATTGATTTTCAATTATAAAAATAATCGATTACACGGGTCAACACGAATTTTGAGTCTGCGTTCTGTACCTCTGATTTTGATTACTTATGCCTAACTAATTAAAGAAAAATATTTTTATCTATTAAAGTTTGCTTTTGTAGTTACTACAAGAAATTTATCTTTTATGAAAGAGCTCTATTTTTAATTTCAATTATTACATAAAAGGAAAACAGTTTTGAATTCACATTTTTTATTGACTTTAATTATACAAGATGGCATATATAAACCCACAAATACAAAAAATAATACAAATAAGACTTTAAAAATGAACAGACTTGGTATTTCTTCTGTGTAAGTTGGAACTTTTTCGTATGAGCCCCCAAAGTAGTCACCCATCATGTTTTCATTATATTGTCCTTGATAACGCTTTTCAAAGTTTATTACATCTTGGTGGAAACGTTTCCCTTGCTCTTCCGAATATGCACCTAAGTTGTCTTTAAAGTTATCCAAATGAGCATGTATCATGTGGACTTTCAATGACATTCTGCAACCCATAACTTTGAAGTTGTGAAGCATTTAAGTAATAAGCTCCGTGTAATTCTCTGCCCTTCTGTTCCAAGAAAGCCATTAATCACTGCTTTAAGGCTTGTTTTTCGTGGGTACTGAGGAGCTGTAGGAATTGTTCACTGGCCATTATTTTCATTATTTGTGGACCAATGAAAATACCAGCTTTAATTTTAGCGCCTCTGACAATTTCGAGAACAATGATTTTAAATATTGAAAGACCTCAGAGTCTTGGGCACCACGCAGAGCCTTTACGAACTGCTTCGTCAGACCTAATTTTAAGGGTTTTGCATCGTCAGACCACAATGGAGGCATTAAAATATGAGCAATGGAGGCATTAAAATTTTATCCGCTTCGGGGCTTCACAATCGGTTCATTTTGACATTATGTTGTCCTATTTGAAACTCGACCGTTGTGGCCATGAGTGCTGCTGGTAGTGAAGTGCATCGGCTCTACTGTCCCATAAACAAATGTAACACGGATATTTAGTGTACCCGCCTTGCATTCCCATCAGAAACCAACCATTTTGAAATCTCCTACACTGGCCAGGCATACTCTTCATATTTTAAAACTTTAGACATTTTAACGCTCTCGTAATTTTCTTTAAACTTACAGAATGAGCAAGGGAAGGAGATGGAAATTTATTTCCATTGTGAAACAGAACTGCCTTTAAGCTTTTGCTGCCCCCCCCTCTGCCTTTTGCTGAACTCCGGCTACACCCCAACCCCCCCCCCCCCCCCCCCCCCCTTTTTCCTATATGCAACGGCTCACCTAAAAGCTAAAACACTATAATATTCGTTTTACATTGTGTAAAGGTACAAAAGCAAACTTTATTTATTATAAATAGAGTTTCTGCTTCTTTTTCGTGTATACAATCAGAAAATATTCACTAAATAACAGATCAAAGAAAAATATTTTTTTTTGACTTGTGTTATTTTAAATATAAAAATCGCGTAAAAAAATTTTAATCGAATATTTTTCACTAGGTAAAAACTGCAAGTTTTTACTCAAATTATATGATCTGGAGTTAAAATTCACAATTAAATGCAATTAGTAAACAAACTTAATACAAAAGGTTTTTCATTTTTTAACTATAATTTTGTCAATATGCCATTGACCGTACTGTAAATATGTAAAGCTTGTTTTGTAAATAACAAAGATTTCTTACTTTAAAATATATATTTTTTTTATAAAAACAGTTTTATTTAGTAATGACAATGTTTTTTCAATGCGCAGAAGTTAGACAGAGAGTGTATTTGAAAAGTTTCCTATTTGTACTGGGTTTAAAGATGGCCAGGGTATTTTTAGAAAACGTTATGTTACGTTATGGTCAGAAGTTTTTTGAATTTGAATTTCTTTTATATACAACATACAAAAAGACTATTATATATTTGATAACTTGAGATTTATGTAGTTTTTTTGATCATGGAATATTTAAATTGATATAACCCGTTTCATCATTCGTTCTCCACATTACTTTTTGTTTATTGTCTGGCCTTTTTATGGAAATTACCTAATTGTGGCATCCCAAAGCACTAACATCTGATTGAGTTTCACAATCTGCAAAGACTGCATTATTTGACTGAGGATTTTCTGCTTTGGATTGTGATATGTAAAAAAGGTAAGATGATTGAAATATATGTAAATTAGGCATAACAACACAAAACCTCCCGTTCGCCGGAAGTGACGAAATTCTGTTGGAGATTCATAATGCATATACAAAAGAAGCTAAGTTAAGTAAATTGCATGTTGTTACAGAATTGTAACATTCATTGACCATTCATAATTTAATATACATTTATACAATTAAGTATTTCTTAGAAAATTAGACATAAAAAAATGTTTTGGAATTCCCCGACCAAAGAAAATTAAATCGTTTAAAATAAGAATGTTACCACTTAATAAATGTTGCACTCGTTTAGGCTTCATTCTTTAACATTTCAAGAAGATCTTCATTTGTAGATCTCGGAACAGTTGGTATAAAATTTAGATCATTGTTAAATACATTAACGTGACTTATTTCGATGTTATTTAAAAGAGATCCATTGATCTTCGCGTTGTTGAAAGAGCCTTGAATTTTTTTTGGTGAAACTGATTCTATTGGAGCTAATAGACAGTTGATTTCATTATTATCGCAGCAAGTAACTTCATAGTCATCAATATAGGTTTTCTTATCGTGTTTATAAATGTTTTCACCCAGATTCTTTAGGAACTTTATATTTATCATACCAGGCAATTTGATAGATCCATCTCTATTCTGAAGTCCTAACCTTAATAAAACGGATATTTTCGAGTGATATTCAGTAAACCAAAGTGTTATTGTGTTACTTAAACTTTTATAATCATCATCAGAAAGTTTCCTTATCAGCGTATTAAAGTTGTCAATTGCCTCTTTATATATATTTTTAGGGAAAGTCATCGGCATAAGTGCTGCAATACCAGATAGATGTCGCCGGGTAATGTCAAAAATATTTTGATTTATTCCGACGGATATTTGCCATTTAAATATCATTGTTATTAAATCCCATAATTTGTTGGTAGAATAGTCATCCAGTTTCATAATAGAACAAGCAGAAATATCTGATATTAATTGTTTAATTACTGCGTGCGGTGCTACCGGCTGAGGTAAAAATAGATCTTCCATTAGCTTCGGGTGTAGTAGAACCGTAACTATTTCTGTTAACACTGAAAATAATTAACTAGAATGAATTACGTATGACTAAATACAGCCGCCTTTCTTTTACTCTGAAATTGAATTCGATTCTTACCTTTTTCCGATTTATTCAATGGTATTTTTTGCATCTTTAATCTTTGTTCAATAACGTATACCATTTCACAGCCCAGATTGATCACAATTAAAGGCGTCGCAAAGTGAGACATCTTCCAAGATGATTATTGATACGGTATACGAGAGTATTATCAAAAAACTAACTACGGATGGTAAAATTGAAAATATGTCTCAGGAACTCAGGAAAAAGGATAACAATAACGATAGAGTTCTGTTTGTGTACAAAATCTTCGATGATTATAATTTCTTTCCAAATACTTTAGAAGTAAGTAAAGATGAAAATGCATCCACTCACTATCGTAACCTGGGCAACCAGTCCTATACAAAAAAAGATCTATATAAAGCTTGGCAGTATTATAACTTGTCTTTAATGTATGCCCCATCTGAATCTATAAGTTTTTGTTTAGCTTTATCTAACAGATCTGCAGTATTTTTTGAATTAAATAAGTTTGAGGGTTGTTTACGAGACATTGATCTTTGTTTTTCATATAAATATTCTGAACAAATTAAGGATAAATTAATTAAAAGAAAAGAGTTGTGCATTGAAGCCTTATGTAAGATTAAAAAGGAAGAAGAAAATCCAGAAATTCAAGATATTTTGTCATTTAAAGGCTTAAAAAGTGAACAATATGTAGGGGCAAATTTAAAACTCAAAGTTGTTTCTTCTAAGGAAATGGGAAGACATGTTGTAGCAAAACAAGATATAAAAGTTGGTGAAATATTGGTTGAAGAACAGCCATACACTCAGATCATATCACGAGACCAGATGTTGTTTGCATGCAATCATTGTCTTTCCACACAAATAAATCTTATTCCATGTAAAGATTGCTGTTTTGCTTTATATTGTAGTGAAGAATGCAGAAATAATTCATGGAAAGAATATCATTATGTTGAATGTCCATTAATGCCTACACTATTAGATATGAGCTTCACAAAGCTTGAATTACTGGCTTTACGCATTGTAATAAAAGCTAGGAGTGAACATGACGATTGGAAAAGCCTATATAAAATAATTGAAGACGCTGAATCAAATGTAGGTACTGAATTCCATGGACATGTAAAAGTTGGGGACAAATGGATTTATGATTCCAAATACTATACATCAATACATACGCTGGCTACTAATTTTGATAAGAGATCTGTATCAGACATTTTTCAGAAATCAGTGACCGCAGCTGTGTTTTTAAAATTTTTGCTGGATAAAACAGATTTCTTAAATGCTGATAGTGATGAGGAAAAAAATGAAATTTGCCAATGTGTGGCGGGCTTACTATTACTTCATATTATGACAGTTCCAACAAATATGCATGGTCTCACAGTAACTACCGATAATGGTGAAGGGAAATATGTATCAGAAATAAATGTAAGTAGTGGCGCATATGCGTTCCACAGCCTATTTAACCATTCATGTGCACCAAATGTTGTAAGATTCACAAAATATGGTACAAGCAAAATGAAATTGTTTGCTCTGAGACCAATTAAGAAAGGGATGCAGATATTTGATAATTATGGGTGAGTAAAAAAAAATTATATAACTTTAACCTTTTTAATATATAATATTTAAATACAACTAACTTACAAATTCATAAATGGTACAATTTTTTATGAGATGAGATGAATTTTTATGATATAAGAATTATAGAGCTATTTTTGAAAAAATTGTGTAACAAACACATATTGTATATATATTATTCACACTTAGATTCATAATTTTTTATATCTTTTTATTTGTTTAGAGTCTTCCTTAAATAAATGTTGACGCCCAAAAGGGTTACAACAATAAGTTGAGTTCATTCTATGTAACACAATTAAACATTTGTAGAACCTTTAAAATAGAGTCAATACAAACTAAATGAAACAAACACCTTATCAATTTATAGGTTCCATCATGGATTAGAGGACTGTATGGAACGACAAACAGCTCTGAGGTTCCAATACAAGTTTGTTTGCATGTGTGAAGCTTGTGTCAACCTTTGGCCCACATATTTTCAATTACTTATGCATCGAAAGAGGATTCCAAACAAAATCGTAAGAAATAAGAACAAATGGTTAACAACAAACATAATAGATAGGTTACAAAATGGTGATATGGATACTGTAAGAAAATTCTATCATAAAATTTGCACTTTATGTGAAGAGTTAGACAGTTTTGCACCCAGTACTGAGTTATGTGACTGTCAGGAAGCACTTAAACAATGTCTATTTATATTGCAAGGCTTGGTTTTGTATGCTTATAACCAGAAGGTGGATTGGACATTGAAACCATTCTAATATTTATGAATTAGATTTTTGATTTTCATTTAACTTTGTCTTTGTTACATGGTTCTAATTAAAATATATTTTGATTTAAGTTTATCCAATATTATAAATATTTGTTACACAGATAAGATTTTACTAGAATAATTAATTGTTTTAAAATTGTAATTTTTAAAAATAGTAACAAAGAGTATATATTTCTTAAATAATACTGACCTATAATTTAAATGTAAGTGATGTAATCAATAAATTTTTACAGTTAAACGTATTTCTACTTTACCCAAAATTTGATTTGAGATAAAAATTATAATTGTTTGTAATTAAAAAATCATATTTTAAAATTTTCTTTCAATTATTTAAGTGATAATAATAAACATATCTCACAATATGGCGCTAAAATTAGTTTATGATCATATGAAGTTATGTGGTCCATGGTACACTTTAACATTCATGGATGAATTTTGAATTGAATTCGATGGATCCAGGATCGTCCGTGAATGGCCGCCATTAGCGTTTAAACGCCTACCAACAGAACTATTTTGAATGAGCTATTTATATTAACAAGATTTTAAGAAACATTTCAGATTATTCATAAGTGACTATGGAATCTTTAAATTATAGTTTTTTTATTCTGTTAAGTTTTGGCATTATAAATGTAAATTAAACATTAATTATTTTAAGAACCCGCCAAAACGCTTTCTTATACAATATGGTGTCGCAACAGTCAGGCTATGACGTATTATGCCTGTATACATGTAAACAAATGTCAAGATTTAATGTGTTAAATTATCATTGTTAAAATAGACAAATACCCATATATTATTTTTCAATCAAAACCAGCCTATAACAAAATTAAATTCCAAGATAGTATTAAGATTCAACAGGCGAAGTCAAGCTATTTACTGGCATGTTACGTCATGGTCGATTCGACTAATCGTAACCAATCTGTGTCACATGATTGACATAAAATCAATATTTTAAATTAATGAATATTTTCATATACAGATACATTATTTTTTATTTAAATTTAAAAGCCATGTTTCTACAGATAACTCTAAATAACACTATTTATAATACGTTAAATACCCCATAGGTTGGTTCTATCGCTTGAGTTATTGCACACTCAAGCGATAGATTGCGCTAGTAAATAAAAAGAGGTTTATGCTCATTAACGTTTAATAGAAACTACATCACAAATTTTCTCCTAACTTAAATAACTTTTAACTTTGGATTTACTTTTATTAAGTTGAGATTAACTATTATTACTAATACCTAAATAAACTTACTAATATCTAAATTAAACGAAGACGTTTTTTTGGTTAGGTTTAGAAACTACTGCTAAGTTGCCAGAGGATGTATTGAGAATTGAACCAGAGACAAGTAAAATGTTATAAAACTTAAGTCACTAAATATTTATGTTTCGTTTTACGAATGTTAACTTTTCACAATGAATACTTAATATAGATTTTCTTTCAAATTTTACACCAGTTTAAATTGAGTATTTAAAATCATGTACTTTGCGAGGTTACGTACACTTGTAACTAGTAGAGCTAAAACAGTAAACCAAACTAACACCATCTGCGACATAAAGTTTAGGTATCTACTTATGTTTAGTCTATAATCTAATAACAGCTGTAATCTCGCGGGACAGGAGCCAGGATTTTTTTCAATTAAAAACTTTGGGAGTCATCCTCCCTCACAAGTAGGTTTACAGTTTTTGAATGCATTTTTGTACTTATAATATAATAATAGTGATAAATCATTGTTATGTCGTTATTGACTAAAAATTACTCAATTGTATTAAATAATAATATATGAAAGTGTCATGTTTCATTTTACGCATTTGTAGTCCTAGAAATTGTTTAAATTTATCTATTTTTGCCTAAGGTTCACTTCTTTAAAATAGAAAAATAGTTACCCTAACAAATAACATTACAATTAAATAGTCTAGATAAATTGCCTTCCCACTCGATGGAGAGAATTTGTCAATTATGGATACATCATTTACAAAATCTTGAACCTTATCTTCATTTAATATTGTTATGCGTTTATCTACTTGTGGATTTATAGGGTTGTAAATACCCAAGTAATCCAAAACGCAAGTAACTTCATTGAAGGAAACAAATTCTTTCTCCAAATTCTCGAACATAGAATAGCCGTCTCCGCCATCAGCTAAAAATGCTGACATAAGAATATTGTATTTTAAATCATTACGTACATCTATTAATTTACTACATCCAATACACATAGCTTTTGCATGTATAACTCTATGACCCGGTATTTTTTCTAAATCATAAGTGACTTCCATCCCAGACATTTGTAAAAATTGTCCTGGTGTATCAATTTTTCTCCATAAGTCAACGGAATGTTCTAGTGCTTCCAATAATACGCTTCCATTCATTTTAACAATACAAAGTGTATCTGAAAAAGGTATTACGGTTATCCAATCTCCTCTTGTGAGATTGTAGGGTTTCTTAGGTTGATCTAGAGACGTTCTGATTCTTCCTCCTTGAACTATTGCAATATTTACTTGTGAAAATTCCATATAATGCCTTTTTGTATAATTTAGCATAGTATCACAGATAAAATCTCCTAAGTTGCACTCATACAATCTGCAAGTGTCTCCTTGTAAGAACGCCATGGAGGTTCCTACAATTTCATTATTAATGCGATCAATATCAGTATGATATTTGTCGACTATCTGTAAAACTTCAGGATCTTGTGGAATTCTTTCATTCAATAGAATGGGTTTGCCATCGAAGTCTATAATATCTCCATTCGCATTAAATTTTAAAAACAAACTACCCATATATTTTGTGTAAGCGTATGCTTGCACCACAAGCACCTTTCTCCCTGATTTTTGCATAACCATTGTTGGGTATGGACCTTGTACAAATTCAGGAATTTCTGTGGTATTAACATTTGATAAAAACGTATTCGAGTGTCCACCTATTACTAGATCAATATCTTCAACTTCAGTAGCTATTTCCAAGTCTTTGATAAAGCCAGAGTGCCCCAAAGCGATAATAATTTCAATTCCGTTTTGTTTTAATTTCTTAACTTCCCTTCGTACTGACGGTATTTCATCTTCATAATCAACTTTAGTTTTTGGTGCTAGAAACTTTGTTTCTGGCGTAAGATATCCAACAATACCAATATTGACGCCTTTTTTATTCAGTATAATAGATTTATATAAATTAGTTTCTTCTTTTAGTTCTGGCACATTATCTAACAGTAGGTTTGCAGCTAAAACGGGCGATGTTAAGTTTTTAATGAACGGTACCAATCCAGCCACAGCTTCGTCAAATTCGTGATTTCCCAGCGACTGGAAGAAAACATTTACTAACTTTACTAAAGGTGTTTTGAGTAAAGCATAATCATGTTTTGAATGTTTTTTTAATATTTATGGAAATGAAAAGCCAGTACTTAATAACATTTTTATTTTATAAATAACAATATATTTTTTTAAATGAATACAAATATTATGGCATTTTATTCATTAGCTTATTAATTTTAATTAATACTGATGTATTAATTAACATTATTTAGCCAAAAAAATTATCACTAAATCTTATCATCCTCATAAAATATGCAATGTTGTTGTTATTACAATTGCAATATAAATTATAGTTGGTCTTAATATGTGAGAACCATCTGTTGCTGAACTTTTTCTCAGAATTACTCGCCCTTCAATTTCGGGCCGAACTGGGCTGTGCTGTTTAATATATAAACTTGAAGCATCAAATTCGCCATAAGTTAATGATCGTACTGGTAAACCTGTGAACATACCATAACCATCACCGCCGTTAAAAATAAAATTAGGCATTATAACATTGTATTCTTCGTTTTCAGTGACATCTGAGTATAAAGGTATCGAACAATTCCAACATCTTGCCATTATGTTTATAACTTTTGAGCCTATTGGCTTATCTACATTATACGTAACCTTTAAACCAGACACTTGCAGGAATTCTCCAGGAGGATCTAAGTCACTTAGATTGGCAATTGCATGTTCAAGCATTTGTTTTAATATGGTGCCAGTCATTCTTACAACTACCAAAATTCCTTCAAATGGCAATACTGCTATTAGGTCTCCCTTCGTTATGGTGGTTGGAATTTTCGTAACAGAAATAGAAGATCGTATTCCTCCACCTTGAATGACAGCGATTGGTGCATCCGTCCAGTGTTCTCCATTATATTCCATAGCGTACGTGTATACCATAGCATCGGCGATCAAATTACCGAGATTACATTCTGTGTGTTGGCAACTTAAGCCATCTAAAACTACTGACGTGTTACCAATAACTTCTTCTGTATAATTTAAAACTTTTTCTTTGTATTGATTTATAATATTTAACACCTCCGGGTCTTGCGGTATAGAATTATCTAATAGTATTGGATTTCCGTCTGCTCTCAAAAGCTCTCCTTTAGAGTTGAAAACCATATGCAGTTTTCCCAAATATTTTGTGTAGGCATATGCTTGCACCACCGGCACTTGCTTTCCAGAGGTCTGAGTAACGTAAGTTGGATATGGCCCGATAATTGTCTCAGAATCTGGACTTGTTCCATTCCAAAGAAATGTATTTGTATGACCACCTATAACTAAGCTAAGCCCGTCTACTTTCTTTGCTATTTCTAAATCCTTTAAATATCCTGAATGTCCTAAAGCTATTATTATTTTCACACCATCTTCTTTCAAGTTTTTCACTTCTCTTTGAAGAGCTGTTACTTCTTCAATGTACTCCACATCATTCGGTAAAACTAAATGTTTTGTTTCGGGTGTGAGGTATCCTATAACTCCGATAGGAGTCCCAGATATGTTAAAAACAATGGAGTTTCGTAAATTGACTTCTTTTTCTAGCTCTGGAACTTTGGTTAGTATTAAGTTAGCGGCTAATACTGGTGATTTCAAATTTTCGATGAACGGTGTCAGGCCACTGACTCCCTGATCAAACTCGTGGTTTCCGAGGGACTGTAACAAAAGACAATATATTTCTGGGGCGTCCCAATATTAGTTTTTTTTTAATATATTGCTAATAAATGTTTTGTTGTGTTACCTACAACAATTACAATTCATTAGGGTGCATACAGAAGCAACATGCATAGTATAGATTGTGTGTGTTGTGCCGTTTATTTATAGTTATGTATAATATAACAATAAAAGTTCAAGAATGTTTTGATCCATTTAATTCATATAATTACGTCATCCGTATAACAATATAATAACGAAAATTAATTGCAACTGAATGAACTAGGTACGTATGAGGTATTTTACTACAAATTGTTTATTAAAGCTAAATAAAGTAGCTAAAGCTATTTAAAAAAATCATCACAGTTTGATATTTCATATCTTTCGCTTTTATCACATTTTAATCTAATGTTTCTAGTCTCCGTAATATTTATTCACGTTTAGGTATTGCTTATTAAAGAAAAATGAATATTTTAACAAACATCAACTTATTCACGTACGTTCTTGAGAACCCTAAATTAGCTTAGATCCTATAACCGATATAAATACGATAAATAATGATAAAGAATTAGTATGTCCCAAACTTAAAGCTTTCTCGTTATAAATAATAATGCGGCCTTCAATTGCAGGATACACAGGACTAGTTTTGTTTACGTATTCAGAAGTAGCTCCCAAATCGTTAAATTTCAAATAAACAATTGGTTTGTCAATAAATATCGAATACCCATCGCCACCCATAGACAAAAATCCATTTATGAGTACATTATAAGATCTCGTGTCATTGAGAGGTGAATAAACTGGTATTTCACAGTCTCCACATAATGTTAGAGCTTTTGATACTCTATTTCCAGGGCTTCTACTAAAATCATATTCTATTTGCATTCCAGAAATTTGCAGAAATTGTCCAGGAGCACGTATGGTATTGTATGCGGCCACAGAGTGTTCTAACATTTTACGAACGTCTGAACCATGTAATGTGACTTTGACAACTTTATCATCAAAGGGCATAACTGTGAGCAGGTCACCCCACGTTATATCACTTATTTTATTAACATGACTAATAGAAGCTCGAATACCGCCTCCTTGAATAATAGCAATAGGCGTATCTGTCCAACCGGGCCCTGTATACTCAGAGGCATATTTCTGCACTATTGCATCTGTAATCATATTACCTAAATTACACTCCCTTAAACGGCATGATTGGCCATCTAGAGAAACTGAGGTGCTACCAACTATCACATTCGTAAGTTTTAGTATTGAATCGCGATATTTGTTAACAATCGCTAGAAGTTCAATATTTTCCGGAATGCTACTATTTAACAAAATTGGATTAGTTTCTCCAATTGATTTGATTTCTCCTTGCATGTCGAATGTAAGGTGCAAGTATCCTATATATTTTGTGTAAGCATAAGCTTGTACTACAGGAACATTTCTTCCGGAATCTTGTTTGACAATCATTGGATAAGGACCTTGTGCCTTTTCGATATCAGGAGTAGGACCGTTCCAGAGAAAAGTATTTGTATGTCCACCGATAACCAAATCGATATCCTCGACTTCTTTAGCTATTTCTAAATCTTTTAAAAAACCTGAATGTCCTAAAGCAATGAAAATTTGTACTCCTTCATTCCGAAGTCTTTTGACTTCTGCTCTTATAGCAATTACCTCATCTATATAGGTTACATTATTTCTTACAGCTAAGAATTTTGTGTCAGGCGTTAAATAACCAATAACCGCAACTTTAATTCCGTTAATATCAAATACAACCGAGTTCCTTAAATTAACTTCTGCTTTTAAAATCGGTTCGTCATCCAGAATCAGATTAGTAGCAAGGTTAGGGCAGGATAAGTTTGCAATAAATGGTGCTAAGCCGTTTATTCCATTATCGAATTCGTGATTTCCCAGCGACTGCAACAAAAATATATGCACCAAATTAAACAGTACCTACCTATCAGTTTTTTACATTCAAGCTATTTGTTGTGTAAGGCACACATGCATTGATAATTTATTTAAATTAATATAATTAAACCCATGCATACAGCAATAGAAAATGTTATTGTTTTATTTTTGAAATAAAAATAATTTAGCATTATTATCTAAAGTATAATACGAGTTGTATGGGAAAGGAAAATATTAACCTGAGAGAAAAGAAAAGAAAGACATGTGAGAGTTAAACATATATATATATATATATTTTTAGATATAACATAATTAGGCAATTAAATTGTTTAGTATAATGGCTACTAGAAGGAATGTTGTTGCCTTAATTGCGTGAGCAGACCCCGGCACAGAATCAGTGTTTAGAAGCGTAATACGATCTGCTATTTCTGGATATACAGGATTTCTTAGTTTAAGAAATTCCGATACACAGTGTACTTCATCATAATCGAGATTTGCCTTTGACAAGTTTTCGAACATTGAATAACCAAATTCGCCGTTAGCTAGAGAGGATGGCATTATAATTTTGTAATCAAGTCTCTCTTGAATTACATTAAATACGGGAACCGCACATCTACAACAGCGAATCATTACATTAACAACCCTAGAGCCAGGTTCGTTATCAAAATTGTATGTAACTTGTACACCGGAGAATTGAAGGAATCTGTCTGACCCCGAAGTTGTATAACCCGAGACTGAATGTTCGAGAGCCTCCTTTAGAATTTTTCCATTCGTATGAACTACTACTAAGTTGTTTGTCGCAGGGAGAGCTGACAGCAAATCATTTCTCGTGATATTACCTGGCCTCTGAGCGGGTGCGATCTTACCATTTAAAGCACCTCCATGAATTATAGCTATTGGAGCATCTGTCCATCTCCAATCAGCTTGATAATTAACTGAGTAATGAAGTATAACAGAATCTGTCACTAAATTGCCAAAATTACATTCTTCTTTCTTACAAGTGGATGCATCTAAAACAACTGCTGTATTTCCTACAATTTCTGAACTAGACTTTAAACTAGTTCTTAGTGTTTCTACCATACGTTCAGCTTCAAGATCTTGTGGAATTGAATTATCAAGTACAATGTAATTGGCATCAACATTAATTAATTCTCCATTTCGATCAAATTTAGCGGCAATCTTTCCTAAGTATTTGGAATAGTCATATGCTTTTATTACTGGTACGCGTTTTCCAGATTTCTGTGTTATTATCACAATGTTTTGTGGGTCATCCTTTCCGCTCTTTTGTGTCGTACCATTGGTGTAAAAAATATTTTGATTGCCTGCTATGACTAAATCGACTCCTTCTACTTCTCTTGCTACATCTAAATCTTTTTGTGAAGATTGTCCCAAGGCAATAATTATGTCGACGTTTTGACTTTTTAAATTACCCACTTCTTCTGTAAGGGCAAGAACTTCGTCGATATATTCAATGTTGCCGGCGCTGTCTAAAATGGAAGAGGAGGGGGTCAGATAGCCAACAATTCCGACGAGAACATTGTTTATATTCAGTACTACAGATTTTTTAATTTTTTCGTTGGCTCCAGGAGTGTTAACGATTACATTTGAAGCAATAACAACGGTGTTTAAGCTTTGCATTAGAGGAGAGAGGCTTATCTTGTCCGTATCGAATTCGTTGTTTCCGAGAGACTGAAAGAAAAATTAAATATGTTATACACTGTAGAACGTAACTATGATAAAAGTAAGACATAGGTTAGTTTATTTCATGTTACAATAAAGAAAGTAGCCCTTAATCCACCAGAAACCACATTAAGAAGCAAGCAGAAAACCTTCACCACTTTAGTATAGTTAGCTTAGGAATTTATTATTTTTAGTGTATTGTGTTAGTGGAAACACTTGGAATATTTTGTTAGCATTAATGTCTAAGTAAAAAATAAATGGAACTTACATCTTTATTCTCATTATTCCTTGATAGGTGGTATAAAAATTGATGATTTAGAGTCTATGGACGTATTAAAACGAAAATAAAATAAAAGTAACTTTCAAATTACCTAAAGTACTTCCGTTGATTAAGTCAGTTAGACATAACCATCGTTACCATTTACCAAGCAGTCTCAACCAAATCACCTAACACGATAGATTTCGATCTTCATACACAATTGCTTGTTTATACTGTCATTTCACATTGTGTAACGCAAACAACAATTAGAGTAGTTATTGATTTTCAATACATAAGGACGTATGTACGAGACTATATATAGCTCAACCGAGCCGCGTCCGATAGAAAATTTTCACTGAAAATGTCATTTCATTTGGTGATTGATTTAACCAGCCTTTGTGTTTCGCGATTCGTTTTCACGTGAATGTACGAGTGGCGTTTTCAGCTAATAAATTGGCACGCACACGGCTGATACATGGTTCGGTGCCGGTTTGCACATCAAAACTCCTTTGCCCAAACTTAAGTGAACCTCATAAGTACGAACGAAATACCTGTAGCTTTTTTGTGATTTTAATAAGAACGTGATCTAAGATTAAGATTCAGAGTGGGGACTAGCGCTGAGTATGATTTCCGTATGTCAAAACTGTCCACATCTTAGTTTGTTAAGTTTCGACTTTAGGGTTAAGGCTCTTAAAAATGTAATTCGACATTTTTTTAAACAGCCTTTATTGTTAGTAAATATTGATTGTGGTGCTGTTACTGATGTGACGCGATGTGGGAACTGCCCGGCTTCAATAATTATTTCGTATTGATAGGCACAGAAGACTAATACTTGACAGTATAAATAAAAATAATAATCAGTGGCGCCACAACTTTAATATGTCTGGGCCTCAGATTTCTGAATCTGTTTTATGAAATTTTTTCAATCCAATAGGCAAGTAGGTGATCAGCATCCAGTGCCTGACACACGTCGTCGATTTTATGGGTAAAAGACATGTCGGTTTCCTCACGATTTTTTCTTCACCGCTGGTGCAAATGTTAAATGCGCACATTGAAAGAAAATCCATTGGTCACAGCCGGGGTTCGAACCTACAACCTTAGGGATGAGAGTCGCACGCTGAAGCCTAGTGGCTTAGATCCCTAAGATCGATATTTAGTAATTTAATGCAACTCATAAACGTATATCAGGTCTTATCCTAAACTGAATGACGCAAATTCAAAATGCACGCTTGGTCGCCCATGACTATCAAAGTAATGCTAAATTTAATTTTATATTTGACAAACACCACTAATTAGTTGTCTATCTAGTTGATTTAAAATATAAAATTGTTAAATGCGCACATAGAAAGAAAATCCATTGGTGCACAGCCGGGGTTCGAACCTACGACCTCAGGGATGAGAGTTGCACGCTGAAGCCACTAGGCCAACACTGCTCTCAATACTTGACAGCATGGTCAATTAACAGAAAGGAAATAGGCCCGTGATCCAAACTACGTAATTTCAAAGAAAAATGCTCTTTCGTAAAACCTAGATGCAAATAATTGTTTGTCAAGTAAAGGTTTCTTTTATATCTATTATACATTACTAGTTACATATATATTAAAATCTTAATTCGAATTAGCCTTATACTAAGTAAACCTGCAGCCACTTAGAAAAACTTCGAATTAATATTAATTAATCAAAGTTAATTTATAATTATACACTTAATTTAAAACAGAAATACCAGACAAGTAGGATACTGATAACGTCAAGAATATATAATAACAAACACTTCATTATATAAAACATTGTTTAACTACTGTTTGTTATGTAAATTACTTGGAAAATCTGTCTCAGAAATGTGATATGACACATCTGGAACATAACTGTTGATGCTAATTTAGTTTAAAGTTACATAATTAAATTGTATTCCTAACATTGCTAATATACTTGTATACTTGATTACATCATAATATATTTAATCATATTATGTATTTAGAAAACCAACGCTCCGTTTAGGTCAACTTCGGATCCAGGGTATCGCTGCATCATACTATTTTAATTGAAATTATTATGTATTATTGACTGTATAAAACCAATCCAAATCGATATTTACTACTTTAATGCAAATCATAAGAGTGTATCAGGTGTTATCCTAAACTGAATGACGCAAATTCAAAATACACGCTTGGTCGCCCATGACTATCAAATGCTAAATTTAATTTTATCTTTGACAAAAACCACTAATTAGTTGTGTATATCTAGTTGATTAAGGGTCGATTCGATCAAACTTCAATTTATACACGAGTAACTATACCAGAAATAATCTATTCCATGATTATAATCTCGAGTAAATTCATAGTCGTTTCTCCACGTAATCGATAGTATAATTGAGCTCGGAATAACAATACGCGAATAGCAAAGAGAATGTTGAACGAAAATAAAACTCGGCAAATATATTTTGTTCTACAACGGGACAGTGTAATAGCATACATCATGTCAACTTGATTTTGCCGTATTATAGTGTGAAAAAGTAGCTGTTAGGCAGGTACCAAACGACAACAAAAAGTTTTTATTTGTTGTTTGTTTGAGGTTGTCGTCTAAAAAGGAACTTCTGTTGAGCCTACTTGAATTTCATTCTAATATTATAGAAAATGAAAAAACTAAAAATAAATAAATAAATAATAAATTGTTTAAACGTTTCATCATACAATGCCAGACTATTAATTTAGTGCGTTGCGTTGACTTGAAATGAAAACACAGAATACATATTTGTGAAATGACAGAAATCAGCTGATTGGACTGACTGACGCCATTAAATTATTCTAGGATTAGCTGTTATTCCGTGCGAAACGGCGGTATAGTAACAATTCCCGAATAGGCCCACTATTCTTAGAATTTGTACATGGTAAAACGTAAAATTGATTTACTCTCGATTAACTGAAGATTTATTCTAAGATTAAGATTTACTCTTGTTTTGTCGAATCGACCCTTAAAATATAAAATTGATTGATACCGTAATTGATTTGTAATTCCAACTACTTGCTAATATAACTTATTTGATTTGAAAATGGAATGACAAATCAAATTTCCTAAATATCTAGGCCCTGTAGCACTGTAAACACATTACGTAAACATGACAACACAAGAAGCACGTCACAGCTTACGCCTCCACAAAGCAACCACAATTCCATCCTACATCTTAGCCACAGGGCTTAGCAAATAGTTTGAACTTGAGCTAATAAGCGAAATTCATGTGTCTGGCAAACGCGTAAATTTTCGTGAACATATTTTAAAAGAGAATCCTGTGTGAAAATATTAATTGAACGCGAATTCAATCACGGTATGTCGGTCGTAACATGGTATAGCCTGTAGCTTTTCGTTATACGGATTATACAACCCAAAAATAATAATGTAAACCAGTAATTTCTGAGATTAGAGCGTTCAACAAATTTTGTTTTTAAACTTTACATTTTAAGAATTTTATATCTATCTTATAATTTCTAATCTGCCATTTATTTCATATTAATTAGTTGGAAAATAAATCTTCTTTATGTATGGAATGATGTTTACATGAAAACTTTACTTCCTAATCTATGATTTTTATGAAATAATGAAAACTCAAACACTACTGGACCGGTTTCAAATTGTACATATAATTAGAATGCTACATGTACCCTGGCTAACATAATTATGACAATATGTTGTAATACAAACCGAACATATTATAATAATAAACATATTAGCCGTAGTAATTAATTGATTTTTTTAACGTTGTAATTAGAAGTGTTAATAACTTAAAATATATGTATGTATGTACTTAATAGTCAGAATAGTTCTCTACAATTGCATATTATGTAATTGTATAACGAAAAAATATACACCCTACTGTTTATAATATACATAATACATACCTAATACATAATATGTCAAATACGACTTGTTTAAAAAAAATATATAAATGTACATAATGTATGACATGTCTTAGTTGTTTTTATTTTAAAGTATGATTATCCAAAAAATATATATAATATTATAGCAGATTGCGTGTGGACATCATAGTATGAGGACGTGTGTTATTTCTTTTTTTTTTCAATTAAGTATTATTTGCACACCCAAGAAGGGTGTAATGTACAAATACTCTACTTACATCTATTATTACCCTTTTATTTCTAACAAAACATTTATATGATTACATTCTGCATAAGTTGTTATTATTAGATTTCTAATCTTTTGAGCTACAGTAATGTTGTCTCTTGTTATGTACATTGTACATATTATGGTGTAATTTACGATGTATAAAATGTTTAAGTAATGTAGAGTTTTTGTTTGAAATCCAGCTGCTTGGTCCCGCTAAAAACGGACATACACAAACAAGTAACCAAATAGAAAAATCACAATATATCCGCGTTTTAACAAAATCTATTCAAGCATTGGACAAGACTCACCGACGTCATTACGTCTTGCTCAAAACAGAACAAAGTAATAAAGACAGATATATAATTTGCGGACATATACTTACAACAGCGTCAGGTTGCAAAGCATTAAGGAACTCAGCGGCTATCTTCCACTTGTAAATGGTAAACCAGGCGGTGCCTGTGTAAGTGTCTCCAGCATTGAGGTACAGGACAGGTGGACCTTCACCAGATTCGGCAGCCTTACGAGCCTCTTTCACACTGGAATAATATATTTGTGGGTGAAATTTTAAAGAGGTAGAAATAACCTTATTTGTTTAATCAAAGAAAATGTATGCCATACTCGTATAAGCAATTATAGGTACTTTTTTATGATTTTTATATAATATTTTAATGTAAGATTCAGAAACGAGAGCTAGCTATGAAGGCCCTTACAGGCCTTACCATCACCCAGGCGCAGAGGCTTGCCGAAGACAAGGGAAAGTGGAGGAAGTTGTGCTGCGCCACTAACACGACATTCAGAAATGAAGAGAGCAACTGAAGAAGACATAGGGAACATACTCAGAAGTCTCTCTATCTATCTTATAAATAGATTTCTATGTTTGTAATAAATCTCTACTAAAATACATATTAGATATTAGACCAGTTCAAATAGTGTAATATAGTGATTTTTAATATTTGTCATCAGCCACACGTCAAAGCTTATAAAAAGCAGTTAATGGACTTGTTAATTTTGCGGTTTGCGATGTCATTACCATATTAGATGTATGTCAATGTGCGTATACTTTAAACGCGTATCTATTTATAATCAACATTTACATCAATACCTATCTACCAGAATTGTTGTTTCGGGAATCGAATCGAGGACCGCGTAGTACAATATTACATTATAGTTTTTAAAACCTATACTATAAAAAACATACAGTTTTTATAAGATATTTTATATTTCATGAGTTCACGATATTTTTTCACTATCGTGAAATTACAAAAACATCTGCTGGCTGAGTTTTTAATTAAAGTTCACAGATGTAATCTATTTATCTCTTAGAAAAAATCAATTCATTTAAATAATTAATTTATTAATTAATTCCTCAGATTAACAGATCGATAATATCGATATATATCTTCGATAAAGAATCATAAAAATAAATTAATGGCTATAATTAAATTGGTGTGCTTTGTTAAAATATGTTTGCATCTAGCAATTATCTAGCAATGTGGATTGTTCTATATTGATGAAACTAAATGTAGATATATACTAACACATGGGCAACCCTAGGGAACCCTCCATAGCACTTCCCAGCATCTCTATCAGCAGTAGTACAGGCTCCACTCAACTGTGAAGTCTGCTCAAAGCGAGCGTGCATGTCATTGTTGTGAAGTATCAAGAGTTCGAATGTGCCATCGTTACTTGGCGATTTCACGATGCTACTCGATGATAGGGCTATCACGGCGATCACCGTTGTCAGATGCAGTATTGCCTGGAATTAGAAGAAAATATAAGTCTTTGGAGAGATTTATTATAAAAGGATACTAATTACTAGCTGCCCCCGCAAACTTCGTTTCTCCTTAATGTGATTTTACTTAGCCTACCTTTTTAGTACATACCAACATGGAACATTTTGCTATGCTACCCCAGAGACTGTTCGGTTTTCCGGAATGAAAACTTTTTAGGTTTTTCTGTGATTTTTCTTTATATAAACCTCAGAGTTCATGCTCTTAACTAACAAATAAAAAATTGGGGTTGATCGTAGAGGGTAGATGAAAATTAAGGGTTTTATGTATTTTTGTATACTCTATCATAAAAAAAATAAAAAAAAAAAAAAATGTCTGAAAAATAAAAATAAAATTTGGGGTGGACACCCAAGTGATGAGACTTAGGGGTTTGAAAGATAGATAGTAGCCGATTCTCAAACTTACTAGATATTCATAAAAAAATTCATAAGGATTGGTCGAGCCGTTTCGGAGGAGTATGGGAACGAACATTGTGACACGAGAATTTTATATAATATAGAGCGCTGACCCTTGTAAATTACGTTTTTTTATTGATACCGCCGCACATACACTCGTCAGAGGTCATATTGTCAGAGGACTCGCAGGTACACTACCGGCCTTTTATTAATTGGTACGCTCTTTTCTTGAGTCCCTAAGTCGAATTGGTTCGAAAGTACATCGGTAGGCAGTTGGACATTCATTGGAGAAAATCCTAGTAAAATTAAAAGCTTTGAAATTGGATGTTGCCTTTTCGTGGAATATAAGCTTCAAATAGATACTGAAAATTTTTCCTTAATTAGTTTTCAAATGAAAATGTGCATTATTCATTAAAGCCTTACAGTTCTTTTTTAATAGGATCGGCAGTTGAGTGCAATAATGGCATTGTTTCATTGTAGCATTGATTTTACAAAGAGTGGGCCGATTTACCGCTAATGTACAGTATTAACAAATTACACACACTATGATAAGTTTAGATGTGTTGTTTTGCTATAAAAATAAATAAATCAGTGGCGCTACAACCTTTTTAGGTCTAATCTAATTGGCAAGTAGGTGATCAGCCTCCTGTGCCTGATCTACGCCGTCGACCTTGCAAGCCAGTTTCCTCACGATGTTTTCCTTCACCGTTCGAATGAATGTTAAATGCATGCAAATGCACATTTAATGAAAGGTTTGTGCACAGCCAGGGATCGAACCTACGACCTCAGGGATGAGTCGCACGCTTAAGCCACTAGGCCAACACCGCTCAGCTATACCTACAGTTTATTTCAGCTGAACACATATATAATGTATTGCTTCTTTTAGTTACAAATAACACAAGTGTTGCATAAGACCTTGGACATTTAGATTTTAATATTATCCTTACAAAGATGTAAAAATAGGTATTTAAGCTTGCATTTGTCGTCCATTATTCCATAATAGGTATATCATAAATCGATCTCAATCTAATAGTATTGTATGTGATTCTCGAGTCAAGAAAGAGTCATTACCAAGCTTTCTTTAAATGGGGCAAACGGGCAGGTTTGATGTTAAGTGATACCGCACATGGACACTCATATTGCTAGAAGGCTCGCAAGTATGCTGCCAGCCTTTTAATAATTGGTACGCTCTATTCTTGTAGAAATCGAATTGGTTCGGGAATACTTCAGTGGGTAGCACATAGTGGTAGTGCGCGGCAAAAACTGCTCAAAAAACGCAATTATTGAGATGCCCTTGTATGTTGGTATGTTAATTTTTTAAGTATCGTGAGGTGCGATTGAAATATATGATTATATATTGTGAAATCTCTCATCTCAATTTCTTTTACCTAAATCTCACTCGATATATTTACCATGTGTCTACAATTTGGTGTAAATATTTAAACTTTAGGTGGTAAAATTTTATGAAAATCATACTTAAATCACTAAACTGTTTAATATTACATGAATATTTATCGCGCTCGCAATTTTTCCAGAGATTTTTACGTCGCGCTAAAACATTTTCGACGCGTCATATTAAGGTTTAAGATTATCAAGTACCTACAGTGCTTATGCATTTCAATTTTCAAATGCAGCTTTAAAATTGATTTGCACAGTTTTAGTTTTAAGCAAAGTTAGTCGTTTCGTAACTCGCCTGGTCACTGGGTGCTCTGGTAGTCTATGGGTAAGATTGAGAGTTTTTTTTTTTAATGGCTCTGGCACGATTTGTGCATTAGCCAGCGTCAAGTATAGGATTTTTTTATAATTCGTGCTTGTCTTTTTAGAAATTCAACCGTGTCCTCCATGTACGGTTTAAGCACTCGCCCGGTACCGCACAACCCTTCCAAAGGCCGAGAACAAATTTAAATTAAACTAAAACTTGCCCTCGAACCGGGAATCGAACCCGGTACCCCTCACCTAGCTGCCACTTAATAAGACCTCTAGGCTACCTCCCCCCTCTAGACCCTCTAGACCCCCAGATTGAGAGTTTTGACTACGACATATTATTCTGAGACGTTATAAGATGGTCGAAGTCTACACCGATTCCTGCTCAAGACATATTTCATTATGTATTCATTGCTCTTGTCAAATTACGTCATCTGGTTTCTATTGTTTTTGGTAAATTTTGGAGATTTTTTTTACTAATCTGTGAAACCTTATAAAAATAATAACGCATTTATTGCAAATTCATATTAGTATCATCGACCGATCCTTATGAAACTCTTAGGAATATAAAATTGAAAGTGTAGAGCTGTAAGTAGAAGATATTTTTAAACTCTGAACTACAGAGTTTATTAACTGTAAATTATTTAAAATTATTTTTGCGTAATGTGTCAATTTTTATCTGTATTTCTAATTAATTTTTCTGTTGGTAGTTCCAAAACGTTAATCAAACTAAATCTAGTTTCAAGAGCTCTAAAACACTGGACATGTATTTTTTTCTGTATAAGGTTTGACATATTTGACAGCGCTCAAGACGAGATTGTGAATTTATATGTGGACCTTAGTCTCGCGTAAGTCGTATCGTAATTGGCGTAAACTACGCAAACTTAGTTTGACTTCTAGATTTTGACTTACGAGAGATCACGCAAAGTCTCGTTTCTGAATGTCACCTTAAGTTTGACTTGTATATCGAAATGTATTTTATAAGCGTTATAACTATTATATATCTATTTTGTTAGAATACAATAATGTAAGTGAGATTTTAAAATAAACATTTTATTCAAAAACAGTTCTTTGTTCAATTTAATTTAAAATAAATTGTAGTCGACAAACTATTATTGTTTTATTATGCGTATATTAATATTAATCCAGTACACTTTATCTAAAGAATATCTCATTAACACATTTGATAAGATAAACTCGAATATAGTATGATTCTCTTCTATCTTATGAAGGCAACAACTAAGCGACTATATATTTAGGTCGAAATTAATAGAATAGGTACGCTATGTATTCTATTAATTTAACGCTATTGTGGCTTAGTGGTAAAGGCATGGTGTATATTCAGAGGTTTTTAGTTCCAATTCACTGTGAAAGAATTACGGATTCATCGACATACGGCAATCAGGCACTACAGCCTTTTTAGATTAAGTTAGATTGTAGCCTCAGATTTCTGTATCATTTTCATGACCATTTGTCAATCTAATAGGCAAGTAATCAGCCTCCTGTGCCTGACACCCCTTTTTCTGGGTCTAATGCTAGCCGGTTACCTTCGAATGTTAAATACGCACATAGAAAGTCCATTGGTGCAGAGCCGGTGATCGAACCTACGACCTCATGAGAGTCGCACGCTGTAGCCAACACTGCTCTTTACACACACGTTAATTGCCTCAAAAAAGGATTAAAACAAACGCAGACATGTATTTAGCCTAGGCCCATTTGGGAGATTAAGCGCCTTCTTACTTCTCTATAATAAAATATTATTACACTACAAAATCGTTCATCCAATACATACTTGGCTTGAATTTTAATTAAGGTGTAGATTGTCAATCAATTAGATTAGTCGATACCCGATAGCCATGTTCGCTTTGAGCAGGAAAACACAGTCGGAGCGAGACGTGCTCGTAAACTATCTCATTTTTATTCTTAAAGTGTATTTTCTTTCGTGACATGTATATTGTAAGCGAAGTTCCATTGACTGCAGCGTTCTATGATTTAGGAATTTTTCATATTTCGAACGCTGTAGGTTTGAAAATTGACATTTCTTTGACTGACAGTTGACATTATTTTTTTATTTATCATGATTTCTGATCTGTGAGTAACCTGATTAGCTCGAGACTTTTCAATAGAAAATTATCAAACCTTGGGTAATAATCGTGGTATTTATATGTCAATTATTAATGGGATTAAAATTATCTCACAATACATGCATAATACACATGTAGATAAAGACATATATTGTTACAAATTGATTGAATTTGTTACAAATGCTCAATTATTGATTTTAAATTATCAGTGTTAATCGCAGATTTGATATCCACTACGTCATCAATCATACAATACTCCTAACATAGTATATGCCATAAAATTTCTTGATTTACACGGGGCCATAAAGCTGATTTTAGTATAACAGTGTAAACTCTTTATAACTTCATTCGTTAGAACGAAAAACTCTCTATAACGTAAAACTGAGTTAAAATTATTTGGTTTAACCCAAAACCCATACAATAATTCTTCCCTCACTATAACGAAACCTTTCTATAACGAATATAAATGCTCGGTCCCTTGATATTCGTTATAAAGAATTTACACTATAGGTACTTGCCAAATATTCCAAACTTAACTATGTATATAAACTACAATTGAAATCCCCAAAAACCAAACATACTACTAATATTGGTGTACTTTTATTATTTATAAAATTCTAAATTAACGATATGATAATATTTTTAACGTAATATCAGGATGAAATAATTAAAAACTACATATTTTTCATATATACAATACAAGCGGAAGAGAATAAAAAGGTTGAAGTGTGCGTTGAAGCTAATTTCTGGGAAATGTGACAGAAACTAGGTCACCTAGAAGTCTGGGTAAGACGCATCGATCTTGTCTCCCCGCTGTAGTGTGGGAGAATCTTAGGAATCAATACACGTAGGTAGAAAACTGTATCGGTCTTCGGATAGCGCGAGTAAGATATGTATATTCTGTGCAAGATTTAGAGACCAGTTTAATGTTATTCTCATTGTCACGACTTACATTTCGTTTAGTTTAAGGGGAAAATGTTATAATCTCTTAATTTAGTCAATTGCTATTTCACTAGAAATTACTAAACTAAATTTGAACAAGTCATATATTATTATCTACATTAATGTCTACTAGTCTGACCACAGATGATGAAAAGCACGTTATTAATAATGGGATAAATTCGCGTCATTGCCCGTTTTATTTTTATAGTATATTTGAGAACTAGCTATTTTATACTTTTATATTGTTTATTGTAATGTTTCTTAAAAATAAAATAAATCAGTGGCGCTACAACATCTTTAGGTCTTGGCTTCAAATTTCTGAATCTGTTTCATGATCATTTTTTAAATCTATTAGGCAAGTAGGTGATCAGCCTCCAGTGCTGAAACACGCTGTCGACTTTCTGGGTCTAAGACATGTCGGTTTCCTCACGATGTTTTCCTTCACCGTTCGAGCAAATGTTAAATTCGCACATAGAAAGAAAGTCCATTGGTGCACAGCCGGGAATCGAACCTACGACCTCAGGTATGTCGCACGTTGAAGCCACTAGGCCAACACTGCTCCGTAATGTTTCTTACTTAATATAAAAGATATTTTTGTATATTAGACATAAAAATATAAACTCGAAATATTTGACAGATTTGTAAAATAAAAGTGTTGAGAAATGCAAACCGGAATATGCCGCTTTTAAATAAAATAAATTGCTGTTTATGTACTTTTTGAAGTTATACTTCTTTAGGCGCGTTATGAAAAATTTATGAGAGTGAAATTTTACGATGCGAGCGCACCGTGACACAAAATTATCAGTATGGGCGCCGAGCGTGCGCGAGCGAGATGGGATTAAGATAATCTACAAGTAAAAAGAAATGGAATATGCGTGACGTTAGCAGCTATGCCCAGAATTTTGAATGACCATAATGACATTTGTAGTACCTTTTAAACAAATAAAGGAGTTTTAATAATGTTTTCAAAGAAATTTAGCAATGCTTTTTCACAAAGACTTATTGTTACTTAGTTAAAAGGAACCTAACTAACCTAACTAAACCTACCTAGTTATTAAATTGAATTAATAATATAATAAAATAATAAATAATAATTATTATAAATATTAATTAATAATTGAATAATATACTAAATATTATATATTGTTAAATTATTAACGCTAAATATTTATTAATAATTATTTAATATTTAAAAAAAATAAAGAAAGCCAAAGAAGTATAACTTCTTACGCGCGTACATAAGTACACGCACCATTTTTTTTTAATGTAACAGGATTTTTGACACTCACATTCCGTAAGGTAAACGAGTGCGTTGCCTTTACTGTAATTTAGTAAAGCCCGTAATTGTATTGTTGGGTGATTTAGTTCTTTAAAAATTTGAAACATTAATTTGTTTTTTTTCTGTTTATATATTTTATACAATGTAATGTTAATACCCTAAATTTTAACTATCAGATTTTTTTAAATTTACATAACAATTTGTGATATCTTTAAACTTTGAAACTTCTTTGTTTTAAACTATTTACTTTAGTTAACTTTTCCCTATATTGGATTTTGATAACATTAAGCCGTTTGATTAGCGTTAAACACTAACAATTTCTAAGTAGGTATAAATTGCTTTGCACATAGAATTCTATGAGCCAAAAGTCAAAAATCATTTATTCATATAGGTTACACAATGTATACTTATGAACGTCAAAAAAGAATTATACATTAAATGCTTCAAATTTTATATTTACAGCTAGTTCTCAAATCAAGGGCGTAGAAGGGAAGAGAAGAACTGGTAATAAGGGTCTAAATCTGTCTATCGTCTGATACTATTTGTTAAAAAAACTGAATAATATTCTCTTTTGAATCAATATTTTGCGGTAAAAGTACTTTCTTAGAGTTCTTATACAAGAGACACACATTGTGCCCTAAAAATAGTGGTCTTGCGCATGCCTCTACCAGGTTTCTTATACTTTATTATGTATTATTTTAAAGACAATTCACCTACCCAATAGTATGATACCTATAAAGCATTCCCATGCTAAGCTGGTGAAGCTTGTGTTATGGGTACTAGGCAACGGATATACATACATATTATAGATAGATAGACATATAAATACATATTTAAACACCCAAGACCTAAGCACAACATATTCAGAAATCTGAGGCAAAGAGGTTGTAGCGCCACTGATTTATATATTATTTATAGCCCTTTTTGGTGTTTGTAATGGAAAAGTAATGAAAACAAATGGAAAATATATATTAATCTAGTTATATATTCTAAGCACACAACCTTGTACAAAAAATGGCCTCAAACAATTAGATGGGCGATCGTCTCGTTTGATCGATGACCATGAATTCGATCAATAAAAACTGCACTCGCGGACCGGTTTAGCTGACGTAGCGAGAATTTACAACTTTGATTTTAACCTATGACAAAATTGTTACAAAAATCAAACCTCTATTTTAAGCGCAATTTTTTTTGCTAAACATGAACTAAATATAATTTGAAATCCGCGTATATATTCGTTATTAAAAAAATATGTTACTGATTAGCAAAACAGGTAATTTTTTTTAAACGTCTGTAAAATTCATTCCTGTAATCAACGAAAGTATATTTTTTTCTTAATTACATTGTTTATAATAGTATTTTAAATATTATTCATAGATCCTCGTCCGGGCAGGTCCTTCAATGTTTTTCTTTTGTAATTTTTCTGGCCTAGTTATTGATTTAGATTGAAATCATAAACGGCCTCTAAAGATAAATATAAAATCATTTTCTTCATCAGAAACCTCCAACGGGTCGTAACAGCCGCGCGACACTTCATAATTAAGACAATTGGGGTCGGACCTGGTTTGATTGATGTATCTTATTTAAACATAAGTAAAAAACACGGCGGGCAGAATGAGGAAAATTGTTACATCCTCCAGACCGTTTATTTACTTTTTATTAATTTTCCTTTTCTCAGAAATATACATTTCACATAAAGTGTCCAAAACTATAAAGTCTCTTCTTTATCAAAAACTAACCAAACGTATTAATCGCAAATAGTTGACTTGTTTTCATTGAAAACAATGTTAAATATTCATATTGTTATTGAAAGTTCGCAGAAAGTAATTAAAACGTAATGAAACTCTGAGAAAATTCATTGGAAAGGCCGAGGTTGTAATAAAGTTGTACTATTTTATTTGATTCTTCGAATTTTAAGAAATTTTAAATTCAAAATGACAATATAATTTAATTACTATCGAAACGTTATAAACCCATAATTCGATTTTCGGCGAAACTCTACCTACTGGGTTCATCAATATGATCCTTCAGCAGCCGTCTACGCTCATGTAAACGCCCTAGGGCCTAGTGCTATTGAATTGCCTCATTTATGAGCGTATTAAAAGCAAAATGAGAGATATTATAAGCTGATATAAAAAGCTCAGGTATGGACCGTGCATTGTATTAATTTCAACTCCACATGACAATAATGAATACATTTTTGCGAAGGCTTTGTCATTACACAAATTGAAATATGAAATGCATAAAAGACATACGTAATATCAAAACAGGCTTCCCGTAATGCTGTACTGTTTTTAATACAATACCGGATGATACTATAACTTCGGCATATTATATCTAGTTTTGTTTTTAATTTGAAAAGTTTAATGTTTGTGACATTGTTGATATGTTTTTGGAATTGTCATACATGGTTTCAATAATTCGCTATCTTTTTAAGGGAATAGTTTTATTATAATAAAACATAAAACTAACTAACTAATAACATAAAACTCGTTAAAGTGGTGCTACAACCTATTTAGGTCTGGGCCTCAGATTTTGGTATCTGTTTCATGATCATTTGTCAATCTAATAGTAGGTGATCAGCCAGTTGTGCCTGACTCTTGCCATCGACTTTTTGGTTCTAAAACGCTTTCTTTACAATGTT